GTGTCCATATTGTTACCTAATTTTTTTATTTTAGGTAAAATATAAATCAGAAATAAAAATACAATGGCTTATCAATTAAAGCTCTAATAATGACCTACATGTATTCTCCGTATTCTTACTAACTTCCTGGTTTTCAGTGTTTAAAACTGCTATCCTGATTATGCCATAGTTCTATGTACTTAACTGACATACTGAGGCAGTCCATAATAGAGCTTCAGCTTTTGAAAAAGGTTTAGAATTTTTTACTGTTGGAATTGAGAGAACCCTGCTTTTAACAATGATGTATTGACCTAATCACCAGAATGATAACAAAGAGACTCGAAGTCCTGAAAGAATCAGTCTCTACTTATTGAAAGAGTACCCAATAGCAAATTTCTAACGACCCTATGAATGGCAGTGAATAAGTGATGGTGGCAAAGAAAAAGTGTTATTCTTCAGCTGATAGATACTGCAAATAATAGTCCTTTTAACTTCCCAGCCACAGAAGTAGAGACAGATAAAAGTCAGGCTAATATTATTGGAAAGGAGAAATTTAAAGGAAGCAGCACCTATCATCCAACTCTTCTAGAGATATTTTACATTTTTGAGATATGAGAATTTACATTATACTTATCTATTCAGTGGTTCTTAACCAGCAGCCTAGCAGTGTCTCAAGAAATTTGTTGTTGTTGTCGTTGTTGCTAGAGACAGTGTCTTATTCTGTTGCTCTGACTAGAGGCACCACCATGCCCAGCTTCAAGGAAATATTTTAAAACATACATGTCCAGTAATATTTAATAGTAAATATTAGATTTACTATATTAAAATCATCAGGGGATATCCTAGACTTAGAGATTTGCTTTTAATTTCCCCAGGTTTCTGTCATGCACAATTCTAACTGCAGACTAGCACGGTTGATAATCACTTCAGTCTCATCTCTCACCCACATGGCAAATGCCCTTTATCATTTGGGATTTGGCCAAAAAGAGGAAAGAGCAAAAGATAGAGCCGTTCACTGAAAACTCCATTTACTTTTCCTGGGTAGGGGTAGAGAAGAGACTAGTAAACTCAAAATCCAACTTGATTTTACTATTTATAAGCTCCTTATCTCCCACCTGCCCATCAAGACATTGTGGACTTGAGAGTAGAGTTTAGATGCTTATCTAAGTGACTGTTTCTGCCAGAATTGAATAATGTCCATTAATTGTGTGTTCTTCTCTCTGCTGAACTGTGTGCCACTTCATCGCCTCTATTCACTGCCAACCTGGTTTCCTCAGAGTCCTACCAAAACTGATCCCTAG